GGTAGGTGACCTGCTTCTATGTGGGCCCAGCTGATCCTCGTGTTTAGTTTTTCCGCCAGCCAGACTGCTAAAGCTTCGGGTCCCCGCACCACATCACGCTCCATAGTTCGAAAATTCATTTCTCTTTGGAGCTCGAGGATTGTTTGGCATCCCCATTCCGCAAACCAGTTTCTGAGTTTAGATATCAGTCTATCTTGGATGTCTCCACCATGCTTACTATTCACTTCTCGTTCGATGTATCGTAGCGCTGCTCGCCCTAGGATTGGGGCAGGATGAGGGACCTGCAGCCCTCCATTCTCTGTTGGCAGGTAGAATATACCATTCCCTGTACTTTTGCTCAGTCCTAACGCTTGTTTAAAAGCTCTGATCCACAGTTGATCTAATTCTTGTAGATCTCGCCAAGTCCATCCAGTCATGACTGCGGAGTAGCGAAAGACGTTGAGAATTCCAACTTTCACCAGGTAGAATTTTTGCGCAGGAGTATAACTCGACGAGCTGATGTTTTTGATCAGTTCTTTGGTTTTTTCAAAGACGTATGCTCGTTCTCCCCAAGTGAAAGGGCAGCCCTTTATTCTTCGTCTTTCTTCCTTCCACAGAGAGATGCGATAGCCGAGATATTTGAACGGTTTAGTAGCCGGTAGGGCTTCGACAGGTTCCCCCATGACCGTTATTTTGTTCGCACCAGGAACCTCTCCCTTGCGAGCATAGTCGAAGCTGGTTATCTCTGATTTCTTATTGTTGATTTGCAGTCCTGACCATTTGCAGAAGGAATCCACCACTGCTACCAATTCTCGCATTTCTTTCATCGTGTGTGCGATGAGTACCATGTCATCGGCGAAGGACAGGTTGTTTGTTGTTCCTGTGCTGCACTTGTCCAATTGCCTAGAGAGGATGCATAGCACCAAGTTGGCCAGTTGTGGGCTACTTGCTCCACCTTGAGGCAGCCCGATCATTAGAGGTATTTTCCCTGTGTTGAACTCGTTTGTTTGTATTTGCAGCTCGACTCCACTGTTGCAGGCTATCACAGTTCTAATGTCCTCAGGATGGAAGCCTAGGCTGTTCATTGCCTGCTCGACCACCTCGATTGCCACATTGTTAAAGAAGTTCGCAAAGTCCAGGTACAAGAGAATGAGGGACGTTTTGGCCTCTTCTGCTTCTTCTACGATCGAGATCAGTCGATGAGCCTGCCGACTTGTGCTTCTGCCTGGACGGAACCCCTCCTGGAAGTTTGTGAGGACGTTATTTGCTTCTACTGTCTTACTCAGACGATGCGCCAGGATTGCCTGAACCAGCCGAGTAAGCGTTGACATGACGCATATAGGCCGCATGTTTTCGAGAATGTGACAGAATTGATTTTTTGGCAGGAGGCGTACTCTCGCTGTCTTGTTGAGAACCTCAGCTTTGCCTTCTAGGGCTGCATTGACTAACTTGCCAACTTCCTCTCGGCATGCTGGTGGCAGCGCCCGCAGCACTTCGTTCGAAATGAGGTCAAGTCCTGCAGCCTTTCGTCTCGGCGCCGAGGCGAGCCAGACATCAATCTCTCCCGGTGCCAGGGGTCTGGTGATTTCCTGTTGTTGTCTCCTTGAAAGCTGCACCCCCCTCAGGTGGT